CTCCAGAGCAGTTCAGGTTGGAGACGTAGCTGCATTTTTCAATGATTGCTTCGATATTTGTTTTGGGAGGGTCAACTTCCACGTAGCAGTTTCGGGTTCTCTTTTGACGTGCGTGTCGCTGTGGCCTCTCGTGCAGATGCACGGCCAGCTCGCTAAGTGCGAGCGTCGGGATGACCCGCGCTTGATCGAGATGTCTAGGCTGATAGAATCATGCATTTACTGGCCGTGTGCTGTGGGATGTATTTCGCAGATTCTGCTTCCGCCCAAATTCGACATTAAAGCAAAGCGGAACTAGTTAAGGTGCGGTGAATATCAAACACGGATCGGGAGAAAAAGATAATGGCAACAGGATTTGGGAGGGGAAACCGTTTGTGGCACGTGTTCCAGTTGCTTCTCCGACGGCCAAGTCGGCAGCTCTTTGTCGAGCAGGTTCGTACTGTCCACGCTTGGGATCCATGTGCGTATGGAACAAAACCATATGGTTTCCTTCTGCTGCTTCTGCCTCCTCCTTCTCCTCTCCCTCCTGCTCCTGCCCGTCCCCCTCGCCCCCATCCCCTTCTCTCCATCGCCCGACCCTCACTCATCCTCCTACTTTTATTAGGTATCCAACGATGTTTTGTATTGATTTCGTCAGATTCATGTCTGAAGCTGCCTCCGCTATCCTGGATCTTAACCTGGTTAACCTAGTTAGCAGGAAGCGCCCTAAACAGGTTAGCCTGGTTAACACAATCAGGTTATAAGTTGGTTTGCAGTGGCCGTGTAACCACTTTCGCAAACAGCTTACCATCCAGGATCATATCCTATATAGAAAGCCCTGAACTAGATCTATCCGCCCTATGTGGTTGCTAACCAGGGCGCCGATCCAAGTAGGAATCCTTAGGATTCGATTGGATTCCATTGGATCCCAGGGCCGTTGCCACTGCGACTTTCGTTGCGAACGCGACTGCGACTGCGAGAACAGCAGAATTCTACAACTGGATTCTCACCTGAATCTTAAGGGGGATGCTTCCAGATGTGCTTATACACATCGCTGTTAGGTTGCTTTGCCGGGATACTTTCTTCTGGTGTGTTTTATAACTTGTGTTGCTATGATTATACGATGGGTAGTCGTAGTTATATGTACGCATGCATATGTGACCTCCAAATGTGCTACATGGAGGCACCCGCAAAGTACCACCTATAGGGTCCAGGCGTTTCCTGGGCGTGGCCCGCCGGGCGTCTGGGCGATTGGGCGCCCATGGGGGCGTCCGTGCGTCAGAGCGCTTCAGGTGCCCGGGCGTCCGGGCGCTTGGGTGTCCGGGCGCCCGGGCGCCCAGGCGTACGCGCCCGGGCGCCCGGGCGTCCGGACGTCCGGGCGCGGGCGCCCTGGGCGCTTCTGGCGCCCGGGCCTGGCCCGCTGGGCGCCCGGGCGCCCGGGCGTGTCCGGGCGTCCGGGCGTTCCGCCCAGGCGTCTGGGCGCTTCGGGCGCCCGGGCGCCCGGGCGCCCCTGGGCGCCCGGGCGTCCGGGCGTCCGGGCGTCCCGGCGCCCAGGCGTCTGGGCGTCTGGGCGCTTCAGGCGCTGGGGCGTCCGGGCGCCCCGGAGCCCGGGCGTCTGGGCGTCTGGGCGTCCGAGCGTCCGGGCGCCTGCCGGTGCTCGCGGGCGGTTCGCGCGTCTGGGCGCCCGGGCGCCCGGGCGTCCGGGCGCGTGCGCCCTGGGCGCTCCCAGCGTCCGGGCGTTTCCCGGGCGCCCGGGCGTCCGGCGTCCGCGGGCGCGGGCGTTCCCGGCGCTTCTGGCGCCCGGGCGTCCGGGCGCCCGGGCGCCCGGGCGTCCCGGCGTCCGGGCGCGGGCGCCCTGGGCGCTCCCAGCGTCCGGGCGTTTCCCGAGCGCGGGCGTTCCCGGCGCTGGCGCGCGGGCGTCTGGGCGCGCCCGGGCGCCCGGGCGCCTGGCGGTTCGCGCGCCCCTCGGAGTCCGGGCGCCCCGTGTCCGGGCGTCTCGGGCGCCGCGCGTCTGGGCGCTGCGTCCGGCGCCGGGTCCGGGCGCCCGGGCGCCCGGGCGTCTGCGCGGTTCGCTCGTCCGGGCGCCCGCGGGCGTCCGCGCGCCCGGGCGCCCGGGCGGCGTCTGGGCGTCTGGGCGTCCGGGCGTCCGGGCGCCCTGGGCGCTGGCACCTAGCGTCGGGGCGTTTCCTGGGCGTGGCCCGCCGGGCGCCCGGGCGCCTGGGCGCCCGGCCCCAGGCGCCCGGGCGTCCGGGCGCTTTGGCGCCGAGGGCGTTCGTGCGCCAGGGCGCTTCAGGCGCCCAGTCCGGGCGCCCAGGCGTCCGGGCGCCCGGGCGTCCGGGCGTCCGGGCGTCTGGGCGCGGGCGCCTTGGGCGGTTCTGTCGCCTGGGCCTGGCCCGCCAGGCGCCCGGGCGTCCGGGCGTCCGGGCGTCCGGGCGTCCGGGCGCCCGCGAGTCCGGGCGTCCGGGCGCCCAGCCGGGCCTTGGTAACATTGCGCCATCCCTAGCACAGTGACGTCTTACGGGGACTCAGATTAGACCTCGCCATCCCTGGGGGGCTGCGATCTGTGAAACTGTCGCCACTTTCGAGGGCTGCTGGGGGGCCCAGCACAGTGACGTCTTACGGGGATTCAGATTCGACCTCGCCATCCCTGGGGGGCTACGATCTTCGCAACTGTCGCCGCTTTCGAGGCCTGCTGGGGGGCCCAACACAATGACGCCTTACGGGGACTCAGATTCGACCTCGCCATCGTTGGGGGGCTGCGATCCGTGAAACTGTCGCCACTTTCGAGGGCTGCTGGGGGGGGCAGCGGAGTGACGTCTTAATGGGGACTCAGATGGGACCTCGCCATCCCTGGGGGGCTGCGATCTGTGAAACTGTCGCCACTTTCGATGCCTGCTGGGTGGCCCAACGCAGTCTGCACCCGCGGCGGACTCAAATGGGACCTCGCCATCCCTGGGGGGCTGCGATCTTCGAAACTGTCGCCACTTTCGAGGCCTGCTGGCGGGGCCCAGCACAGTCTGCACCCGCGGCGGATTCAAATTAGACCTCGCCATCCCTGGGGGGCTGCGATCTGCGAAACTGTCGCCACTTTCGAGGCCTGCCCAGCACAGTCTGCACCCGCGGCGGATTCAAATTCGACCTCGCCATGCGATCCCTGTCGCCACTTTCGATCACCTGCGGCGGACTCAAATGTGACCTCGCCATCCCTGGGGGGCTGCGATCTGCGAAACTGTCGCCACTTTCGAGGCCTGCTGGGGGGCCCAGCACAGTCTGCACCCGCGGCGGACTCAAATGTGACCTCGCCATCCCTGGGGGGCTGCGATCTGTGAAACTGTCGCCACTTTCGAGGCCTGCTGGGGGGCCCAGCACAGTCTGCACCCGCGGCGGACTCAAATGGGACCTCGCCATCCCTGGGGGGCTGCGACCTGCGAAACTGTATTCAAATGGGACCTCGCCATCCCTGGGGGGCTGCGATCTGCGTACCCACGGCGGACTTAAATGAGACCTCGCCATCCCAACACAGTCTGCACCCGCGGCGGACTCAAATGGGACCTCGCCATCCCTGGGGGGCTGCGATCCGTGAAACTGTCGCCACTTTCGAGGCCTGCTGGGGGGCCCAGCACAGTCTGCACCCACGGCGGATTCAAATGGTACCTCGCCATCCCTGGGGGGCTGCGACCTGCGAAACTGTCGCCACTTTCGAGGGCTGCTGGGGGGCCCAGCACAGTGGGTACACACGGCGGACTCAAATTGGACCTCGCCATCCCTGGGGGGCTGCGAGCTGCGAAACTGTCGCCACTTTCGAGGCCTGCTGGGGGGCCCAGCGCAGTCTGCACCCGCGGCGGACTCAAATGGGACCTCGCCATCCCTGGGGGGCTGCGACCTGCGAAACTGTCGCCACTTTCGAAGCCTGCTGGGGGGCCCAGCACAGTCTGCACCCGCGGCGGACTCAAATGGGACCTCGCCATCCCTGGGGGGCTGCGATCTGTGAAATTGTCGCCACTTTCGATGCCTGCTGGGGGGCCCATCACAGTGGGTACCCACGGCGGATTCAAGTTAGACCTCGCCATCCCTGGGGGGCTGCGATCTGTGAAACTGTCGCCGCTTTCGCGGCCTGCTGGGGGGCCCAGCACAGTGATGCCACACGCAGATTCAAATTTGACCTCTGGGGGGTTGCGATCTGTGAAACTGTCGCCACTTTCGAGGCCTGCTGGCGGGGCCCAGCACAGTGACGCCTCCCAAGTAGCTTACACATCAAGTTGATTGTCCATACGTTCCCATTGATACAAATGGGTTGGGTACGTCACAGGGTAATTTCACGACGCCAGGGGTTCTGGGTACGTGATTTTCTCGCTCCTGGCTCCTCTGTGAGGGGCTACGTAGGGGGGGACTGGCATAGGGGTGAACGTCGACCTGGAATTGGCGATACATTGCGGATCGGCGATAGGCCCCCGACAGCAGATCCCCACGTCCCTGGGCGGGGTGGGACCATCGGGCCCCTAGTGGCGATGAGCGGACGATCGGAAGTCGATGCATCCCCCCCGACGCCTCTCCTCAAACCTCCGACGCCGTGATTCTTCGCGACGTCGACACCCAGAGGTCTGGACCCCTTCCCGGGGACAGGCTTCTCGTCCAGAGTCGTTTCTTGACAGTCCCGGGGCCGGGCCAGGGCCCCAAGAGGCCGAACACGTGCAACGACCTCCCGCTGTGATTCTCGCCACGACGCGAGGCGGCCTGCGCCCCCGCCCTTCTTGTTGCCCCTGGCTCTCTCTCTCCTCCTGCCGCTCCGGCGCGCCAGAGCCGGGCGGAGCGCCCAGCCCAGACCCCCGACGTCACGACTTCTTTTCATAGCGTCGACCACCAGAGGTCTCGACCCCTCTCCCGGGACCGGCTTCTCATCCCGAGTCGTTTCTTGACGGCCCCGAGGCCCGGCGAGGGCCCCCAGAGGCCGAGGATGGCAAAAAGCCTCCCGTCATGCTTTTCCCATTGCTCGAGGGGGTCTGGGAGTGGCGCGGCCGGGGGACCTTCCCGCCGCACGCCGAGGTGCTCCGGCCGTAGCAGGCGGCCCCGGGCTTGTGGCCCCAGATCGACCCGGTCCTCGGGAGGCAGGGCAGCTGCTGCACAACTGGCCGCGCGCACAACTAGAGGCCCCCTAGATGGGGTCCGAGCGGATGGGGTTGAAGGATCGCACCGCATCGCCAATGCATCGGCGATGCATCGGCGACGCGTCGGCGATTTACCGTCGACGTCGACGTGGGAAACACGGGCTCCACATCGAGCCGCATCGTCGATGCATCGCCGATGCGGCGCGATCATCCGACCTCATCTACTCGGACCCCATCTAAGATTAGGTCGGGCATGTCCTCCTACAGGTGGATTTTGAACGGAAAATGAAATATGTTCTAATCATGCTCAAAAGTTACAAACATGTTAGAAAATTCGTCCCCAGACTATTTTTTGTGACTATTTTTGAATTATCCTCCTGTAGAGGGACAGGCCCGACTTCACTCTAGGAGGCCTAGAACAACCCAGACCCCCTCGGGTCGTGAACAAAGTCGCGACGAGAAGATCTTCGCTGTTTTCGCCCTCTTAGGGGCCCTTACCGGGCCTCGTGGACAATCAAAAACAACGACTCGGGATGACACGCTGGCCACGGGGAAGCGCGAGGGGCGGGGCAGCCTTCTGAGAGGCCTGGTCCTTGAGAGGTAGAGCGGCCCCTGAGACCCTGGCGTTGCAAATTTTTCACGACGGGCGTTTTCGCCCAATTTTGGGCTCCAGGACCCTCGCATATCAATCCGTCTCGAGACATGACGCAGCAATGATGATATGGTCTAGGGCTCCAGTCGTGAGTTTTCCTGGAAGCCCATCCCTGCCTTCTTCGAAGGCCGCCCTTGTCCTGCCCCCCCCCCTCGATCGTACGTGCCTGTGTTGGATGTCTGGAAATGGGCACCAACACCAATCCAGACGATTGCCTCCGCTGGGGGAAGATGATCCTAGACTCTGCTGTCGGTGGTAGCAGTTCGGCCACCCAAGAAGCTTTACCACCCCAGACATGCGACGTCCTGACTTTTGCAATACGGCATCCCCAGAAGTCCAGACCCTTTCCCCGGGGCCGGCTTTCCATCCCGACTCGTTTTTGACGGTCCTGGGGCCCAGCGAGGGCCCCCAACGGCAGAAAATAGTGAAACACTTGCCGTCTGGATTTTTTACGACGCGATCATGTCTGGGACTGTCACCGAAATCGGGATCATCTTTAGACAAGCGCTATCCACGACTCGCAAGGTAGCTGCTCGCAAGTGGCCTGGATCCATTCCGTCGAAGCAGACAGGCTCCATCGCATCGAGCAGCACTGCTTATTGGGGGGGCGTGTGCGAGTAGGCACTTTGCGAGCAGTGGAACGCGCAAGCACGCCGAAGAGCCTTGCCCTGGTGCGAACCCCTGGGCCCGCGCCGGTGCGCGCCGCCGAGCACCTGCGCGCACCCTCTCCGGGCGGCCCGCGCGGCCTGCTTCGGTCGGGGTGCCGCACCCTCTCGGCGCGCACCGCGCGCGCCGGGGGGGGGGGAAGAGCCAGCGCCGACCGGAGAAATCTGCGCGGCCCTTCGACGGGTTTCCGTGTCGATGGTTGCTCCGAATTTGTGGGGGGGTACCCCCCCGACGGGGGTCAACCTCGCTTCGTCGTCGCGCCGTGACGGGGTCGGAGCGCCTTCGGCGCGCGGTGGCTGCCCGCGACGGGGGTCGATATGGGGCTGTCCGCGGGGGTGAGGCCCCCCCGACGCTTATTAAGAAACTCGGAGTATGCTGCTCTCATCGTACTAAAGGACCATATCCCAGAGACATTGTCGAACGCCCAGAAAAGTGTAGAAACAGTGTCGAACGAGTATCGCCTCCCAGGACCCGACACGCGAAAACCCTCCAGTTTCGGTGCCTTCTGGTGCTCGAAATGCTTTCTTATGGTCAAGGCTAAAGAGGGTTGGAACATCATAAGTCGATGGCATCTTGTGCCTCGTCTGGTCCTGAAGCCAGCCTGCATCTGCTTGACGGTCACCGCCCAGAGCTTCAGGGCCTCGTTCCGCGTGAGGGTGTTGGCCGGCTGGTTGGGATGGATGCCAGCCTCGTAGAGCACCTCGGTCCGGTATATGTTGCCCACCCCGGCAGCGACGGTCTGGTCCATGAGCACGCCTCCGATCGGCTTCGCCGCCGCGGCGCAGCTCGCAACGAAGCGCTCGGGATCCGCGTCCTTCCGCAGGGGGTCCTGGCCGAGCTTGACCCTCAAGGGCTCGTAGAGCTTGGTCGGCGTCCCGTAAGTGGTCGTCATGGCAGAGAGGTGAGCCACGAGCTTCGGTCCGCTGTCCGCGGTCTCCAAGCGCAGCCGCGTGGTGGCCGTCGTCTCCGGCTCCTCGCCCCTGTAGACCGCAAAGGCACCAGCCATGCCGAAGTGCACGTGCACTGCAAGCGACGGCGTGGCGCCCTTGCGGCCGAAGAGGTCCGCCACCGTGCCGCGCGTTGCACGAAGTGGAATGTCGCCATTACCCTCTAGCTGGGAGTTGGTTTCGTCAGTCTGGGAATCGATGATCTGCTCTATGTCTCGAATCCTCCGCTCAGGAAGGCCCAGCGCGAAGCCAAACAAGACACTTATGTGCATCTACCCCAATGGTCTTCGATCAACTCTTAGGGGATTGTGCTGCACCTATCTTCCGGTGTTGAAAGTTGTACATGTTGTTGAAAGTGCTGGGCCCCCGAATTCTGGGAATTCCTGGGCGCTTCGAGGCTTTCCCGGGAATCGTCGCGTGACTTTTTCAGAACCTGTGTCATACTTTCAGCATGGCCTAACAATGTTCCAAGGCCTGGCCTGGAGCCTTCTTGGGCACCTCTCGGGTGCCTCCTGGAGACCATTAGGGCTGGCCCCGATGAAAAACAAATCTGGACTTTTCGGTCCGAAGAGTGTTCAAGACGGCCAATAGGCCCCAAGCTCCCCAAGCCGGTTCCCGAGGCCTCCAAAAGAGCCCGTGGGGCCCCAAAGACGGCACCAAGACGGGGAACAGGAACCGATGTGTCAAGGCCTTCCCCCAAGGATGGCCCCTGAAACTGCTGGCATGCCCTCAAGAGGCACGCAAGAAGGTCCCAGAGGCCCCCGAGAGGCCTCCCAAGATGCCCCCAAGAGACCCCGCGAGGCCTAGAATCTGGAAGTGCGGTAGGCGTCCTTTGGCCTTGCCACATGCTCCGCGGCCTTTGGCTGGGGCGTGAGCTGTCAGCCTGCTCTGAGTGGCAGTGCAACCCTGCCGCCCGGCGCCCTGGCAGAGCCTCAGCCAGAAGACCACCGCCACCGCCAGCCCCACCCAAGAGACCCTACGAGGCCTCCTAGAGCCTTCTTGCCCGCGACACGGGCATGGCGTCGGTATGGGCCGAAGGCATCCGTCGCCCCCGCAGCCTGTCTGAGGGGCGCTCGGCCTGCCACAACTCACATAGCACGCCGCAGATGCGGGTAAGAAGGGGCGGGCGCGAGGTGGGTCGCTGGTGGGTCGCGGGCGAGTTGCGGGTGGGTCGAAGGGTGGGTCGGGAGTGGGTCGCGCGTGGGTCGCGGATGGGTCCCGGGTGGGTCGTGGACGGGTCGCGGGCGGGTCGCGGGCGGGTCGCGGTGGGTCGTGGGCGGTTCGCGTGCGGGTCGCGGGTGGGTCGCGGGTGGGTCGTGGACGGGTCGCGCGGTGGGTCGCGGGTGGGTCGGCGCGGTGGGTCGCGGTTGGGTCGCGGGTGGGTCACGAGGTGGGTCGCGGGGTGGGTCGCGGGTGGGTCACGGGGTGGGTCACGGGGTGGGTCGCGGGGTGGATCGCGGGGTGGGTCGCGGGTGGGTCGCGGGTGGGTCGCGGGCTTGGTCGTGGGCGGGACGACGACAACAAACAACAATAACAACACCAATCCGCACCGCGGAAGCCCACTTCAGCCACGCACCCAGGGACAATGAATGACCGCTCGGCCTTCTCACTCTGAGTCGCGGGTGGGTCATGGGGTGGGTCGCGGGTGGGTCGCGGGTCGGTCGCAGGCTGGGTCGCGGGCGGGACGACGATGACGACAACAAACAACAACACCACCACCAACAACAACAGCACCAACAACACCAACACGACCACCACCACCAACAACAACCACAACAACAACACCACTAACAACACCAACACCAACACCATCAACACCAACAACAACAGCATCAGCATCAACATCAGCATCAACATCAACAACCACAACAACACCGCCACCACCAACAAAACCACCAACAGCAACAGCAACAACAACAGCAACACCAACACCAGCAACAACACCACCAACAACAACCACCACAACCACCACAATACGACCACCGCCACCACCACCACTACCACCACTACCACCACCACCATCACCACCACAAATCACCACCACAACAACAACCACAACCACAACCACAACAAAATCAACAACACCACCAACACCACCAACAACGACAACAGCAGCAGCAACAGCAACAGCAACAACAACAATAGCAACAACAACAACAGCAGCAGCAGCAGCAACAACAACAACAACAATTCGCACTTCGGAAGCCCACTTCAACCACGCATCCAGGGACAGTGAATGACCGTTTGGCCCCCCAAACCACCCCCCAATCAAGGAACTTCGTGTTCAAGATTCGGCGGCGATCCTCCTACACATCCTCCTCCGTCTCCTGCTGCTCCACCGCATCCTCCGCCTCCTCCTCCTCCTGCTCCTCCTCCCCCTTCTCCTCCTCGTAGTCCTCAGCGTCGTCGTCTTCAGGGTCGGCTGCACCGGCCGTAAGGCCTTCACAGTCAAAGAAACTCGTGTTCAAGATTCGGCGGCGAGCTCGGGGGGAAGTAAGAGGGAGCAAGCCTTCTCAGAAGGCGGCGTGGCTGATCAAAAACCCTCGCGCCTTCTGAGAATTGCTCTGAGCCTTCTCCGGAGACAGAGGTGACTTCTCGGAAGGCCAGAGGGCTTCTGCGAAACCCCGCCGCCTTCTGAGAAGGAACACTCCCTCTCACTTACAGCCCGGGTGCGCCGCGAAATATTGCCCGAGGTGGTCTCGAAGACCCAAGACGGTCAGTCTGTTGGGAGCTTCTGCTCAGCGTGTCGCGGCGGCGGCCCCGGCGACACGCTGTCCCCTGCAGACGGATAGCGTGTCGCTCCGCCCCGCGGTGCTGAAGGCTGCGAACATCCCGGGACGCTGACGCTCGAGAGTGGCGACGTGGATGGCACGTCGCGCCGAAGCGTGGTGGGCCAGAGCCAGCGGAGCGACACGCTGAGCCAAAATTCCTGACCGCATATGGTCTCCAAGATGGCCGAAGGATGGTCTCAAGTGGCCGTGAAATGGGCCCGTGAGACGGCTCCAGGACGGCCCAAGATGCCCCCCCCCCCCCCGCCCCCCCCGCATTGGGCCTCTGGACGACTCCAGGGCCACTCCCCAGCACGCAGTCCTGGAGGGCTCCCAGAGGCCCTCCCGAGGCCTGGCCCAACGTTCCCTGAGACCCGACGTTGCGAACCATGCGATATGGTGAGAAGTCACGACCAGAGCCTCAGAGCCCACCTTTCTGTGGCATGCTTCGAGCTGGATCAATCTGTTATGGTCCTGGGGCCAGAAGCGCGGCGAAAATGCTTGGCGTGAAACCATTGCAGCGCCTGGATCTCAGGGTCGGTCCCCACGGGCGCTGGAGGAGGAGGAGGAGGAGGAGGAGGAGGAGGAGGAGGAGGAGGAAGAGGAGGAGGAGGAGGAGGAGGAAGAGGAGGAGGAGGAGGAGGAGGAGGAGGAGGAGGAGGAGGGCGGCGGTGGCCCGCCGGAGGCGCCTCCGATAGAACATGTTCTTGCCGTGGACCTCGATCCTCAAGAGGACGCCGCCCGCCGCAACGATCGCCCGCGCGCCGGCCTTGAACCGGCCGTTCGGGGACCGCGCGGTCATCTTGCGGCCGACCAGGGACTTCCTTCGGCTATACGCAAGAGCGGCCCTGGGTAAGAGTGACCTCTGGTGCGCGGCTTTTTGGGGGCCGCGGGGTGGCCAGACACAGGCGCACAATACGCTACTATCGCATCACGTTCGGCGATCGGGGGACCCCAATGTGCCCGCACCAAAGGTCACTCCGGCGAAGGGTCACTCTTACGTCTAGTCGACTCCTGTGCGCGGCCGCGACGCGATGGCAGCCATCGCCCTCGACCATTGCGCTCTCTTAGGAAGAGGAACAGCGGCACAAACATAAGCTCTCGGAGCTCTGCGCGGATTTCTTGGGTCGGCGCTGGGACCACTGGCGGCGCCTCCAGCGCCGCCCCTGGCGCGCTCAGCGCATCAGGCACCAGGGAGGTCGGGGGTTGCCCCTGACCCAAGGTGCCCCCAGGATTTCGCCAGGGAGGCCCCCGCGGCCTCCAGCAAGAGATGGGCCCAGCGCCGATCCAAGAAATCAGCGCGGAGCTCCGAAAACTACTGTTTATGCAATTCTTTCTTCTTCGAGCGGGGGAGCACCGGGCGGTGCTGCGGCGCGTCGGTGGAGCGGCCTGGTGCTCTAAGCCCCAAGGACTGCGGCGAGGGCGGCAAGGGAGAGGCCTTTCTGACATTCGCGCGCCGCGGACAAAGTCACGACGGCAACTTTTCGTACATTTTCGTCCCCAGGGTCAAAACGACGCCGTGAGGAGGATAAATCGAGAATCTCTGAGATCCGGCGGCTCTGTTGGGCGCCGCGGCCTTCTCAGAGCGTTCCGGAACGCTCTGATAGCGCTCCAGAACGCTCTGGAACGGATTTATCTTCGTCCTAGCCCCGTCCGAAAGGGCCCTCTCCAGGCCCCGGGACTGTCAAGAAACGATGCAGGATGAAAAGCCAGTCCCAGGAAGGGGTCTGGACCTCTGGGGAGCCACGTTGCGACAAACATCGCGACGTCGGACGTCTGGGGAAGGAGAGGCAGGAAGAGGGTCAAGTGGGAGGAGAGGGTGCAGGAGGGGAAAACATGCTGCGCAAAGAATGAATTGGGTATTAAGTGCTGAGTTGGATCCGTGAGTGGATCAGCCTGGAATGTCGATGAGCAAAGGCTTTGATGCCTCTCTTTGAGGCAGTTGAGGGGGGGGCAGCTGGAGGGTCCACGGGGGCTCGAGGAGGAGAGGAGGGGCACGGGCCGAGTCGGATGGAGCAGGGAAGGGGGAGAAGAGAACGAGGAAGGCGGATGCAAAATCACCAGGAGGACGAGGAGGACGAGGAGGACGAGAAGGACGAGGAGAACAGAAGGGCGAGGAGGACGAGGAGAACGAGGAGGACGAGGAGAACAGGAGGGCGAGGAGGACGAGGAGGACGAGGAGGACGAGGGGGACGAGGGGGTCGAGGAGTCGAGTTGGCATCCTGCACCTGTGGGTGTGAAAGCCGATGTGGTCGACCAGAGCGGCTCGCTCTGCAGGAACAGCTTGACCAAACTGGCACTCCGACCACAACTGTGCGGGCGGCGACGTTGATGCGGACTGCTGGGCCTGCCGCCAACTGACTGCTCCGTGAGACGGCGGCTCGGGCGCCTCCCCCTCCTCGTCTTGATCGATCTTCCTCCGGTCCTTCTCGTCCCGCGGCGCAGAGCAGCCTAACTACATGCAGCGCTTCGAACTCATCTCGGACGTGCAAGGGTTCGCCGCCCTCGCCGCCCTCGTAGCAGTGTAGGGCTCGTCGGCACCTCCGAAGGGCTTGGGTCCCATCGAGCGGGGTTCGAGCCGCCCCCCCCGCCCCCCCCCCGATACCCAGCCTAGTGGGGGAGACGGAGACGGTGTGCCTGTGGTGCCCCCCCCCATCCGCCGGCCGCCTGGCCCTAAGGGCCGCCTGGCCCCAAGGGTCGTAGGTCTCCCGATGGTGGTCTTCTTTCGTAGGTGTGCCAGGTGGGCTGGCGACAGATGGGTAGGTTCACTGTCGAGCTGCTCTGCGAAAAATCCTGGGGTCATATCTGGACGTATGGGCCGTCGGCGGTAATGTCGACACCCCGCCATAGGAAGGCGAATTTGGGCAAGTCGAGCCTAGTCGCGCGGGGAACGGCCCGAGTGCAGGTTCGATTTCTTTCGCCGCGGTTGTCAACAAGTGTCTCGATTCTCTTGATGGTCAGCAGCAGAGTCCAGCAGAATCCCCCTCGTCCTCCAGATACAGAAGAGCGTAAAACGGGGCCAATGGCACAGAGATGTGTCGCCGCGCCCGACGCTGTCTTGGGGAGGGCGCCTCGGCCGCCAGGACAAACTCCGCCTCGGACGCAACGTTTGCCGTGGGGTTTGACGCGGTGCCGGCCTCGTCGACCTGGGCGCGTTTAGAACAAACGGCGCGGCGACATGTGATGCTCACACTGATGGCGTCCTTCGCCGGGCGGGCCGCTCGTGCCAGGGCAACATGGGGAGAGGGCGCGGGGATCCTGCTGCTCAAGCTCCTCCTCGCCGCCAACCCTCCCCCGGCGGCGGGTCCGGGCCGTGACGACCTCCGCGTTGGTCCCCGACACCGCGTGGACCGCTCAGCCTCGAACGACCGCGGCTTCCCGAGAGGCGCAGATCGTTCGACGTCGGCCAGCTCCAGGCGTTCGACCTTGACCGCCCGCGCTGGGGTCGCCGCCGCGTCGACACGACACACGAACCTACAGTACTCTGGGTTTCTTGATAAGCGTGGTGGGGTACCCCCCGACGGGGGTCAACCGCGCCTCGTCGTCGCGCCGCGACGGGGGTCGGAGCGCCTTCGGCGCGCGGTGGCTGCCCGCGACGGGGGTCGGTGTGGGGCTGTCGGCGGAGGTGACGCCCCCCGACGCTTATTAAGGAACGCGGAGTAGCGGTATGGGTGCCTTCTCCTCCTCTGACTGAGCACCGCGGCGGCCTCGGCCTCGGCGTCCACCGGCAGCTCCCGCCGTAGCCCCGGCGGCGCGCCCACCCCGGCGGCGGCAAGCAGCGCCGCGCTCGGGAGCTCCCCGCGCACCGCGGAGTAGGCTGGCAACGCCCGACCACGGTACAACAGCTGACGACCTCCTCCTCCCCGACCCGGGCCTCGGGCGGGCCGACTCTGACTTTGGAGCCCGTGGGCTCGAGACCTCGGCTCTCTCCCCCAGGGCCTACTCTTGTTCTCGGATCGTGTCCTGCTGGTCCCAGCAGCCCGAAGCGGCCGCCGGAGGCTGGAGCAGAGGAGGCGGAGGCGGAGGAGGAGGAGGAGGAGGAGGAGGAGGAGGAGGAGGAGGAGGAAGAGGAGGAGGAGGAAGATGAGGAGGACCAGGACCAGGCAGAGGCCATCATCCGATTCGAATGAGGGCTGGCAGGAAGTGGGCGGCAGCGGCGGCCAAAGGGGCCTGGAGCAGCGGCTCCGAGGCCCGAAAGAAAGAGAAAGCCAGCCTCGTGGCCGCGGGGACGAAGGTGCTGCCGAGCTCGGAGGAGGAAGAGGAGCGCCAGGATCGAGAGAATCAGCCCGCCAAAGAGGCCAAGAAACGAGCAGCAGGCCGCGGGTCCCCGCCTGCTCCCGGCGCGTAGGGCCCCAAGGGCGCCATCGGCCCGTGCCGAGTGGGGGCTCGCAGGAGGGCCACTTGAGACATCGGCGGCTCTCCCGCCCGGTCCGCGTCCGCTCAACATCGGTCCCCGCACCCCTCCCGGGGTCCATCCTGACCCGCTCCTCGAGGCGGACCCAGACGTGGCGTCGAGCGAAGCCGCCGGGAGGCCCCTGGCAGGACGGAAGAGCGCCGGGGAGGGCCGCTGCCGCCTCGCCTGGCCCTCCTCCGAGAGGCTGCGCGGTCTGGGCGGCACGCCCGGGCGGGGCGCTGGGCGGCGGCGGCGGCGCGCGCGCGCGGGTGCGCGGGTGCGGACCTCGCCGTCCTCGCCTCCTGGCCCGAATCGCCCAACGCGGCGCCCGCAGGGGGGGGGGGGCAGGGGCGCTCCAGGAGGGGCCCAGGACGACTTGAGTAGAGGTCAGAGAATCCACCCCCAGAATAACCACCCCGACACGCGAAGCCGTTCACTAAACGCTCGCAAAGCGGGAATCGAACGGGGCGGGGCTGACTGGTAAACGCTCAGAGCCGTTTAGTAAACGCCAATCGTCGGGTTTGGGTGGCTTTTCCTTCCTTGATTGAATGCCCAAGATGGCCCAAGAAGGCCCCAAGACGCCCCACGAGAGCCACATGGAGGACCTCCGAGCAACCGACAAGGGCCCCAACACGGCCCAACAGGGACTCCATCCGCCCCAAGACGCCCCCCAAACGGCCCACAGAGGCCCGAGGCTGCCCAAGAGCCCTCCGAGAGGGCGAGGGCCTTCTCGTCGGAAGGATCGGCCTCCTCCTCGGAGGCCACCGAGATGCCTCCACGAGGAGCAAGACGGCCTCCTCCAAGAGGCCATGGCGCCTTCCTGAAGGCCCCCCCCCTCTCGCCGTGCCCCCTCTGCGCGCCGCCATTGCGGCCTCGTCGTCTCTGGGCTCGCCGCCGTGGTGGTGGTGGTGGTGGTGGTGGTGGTCGTCGACGTCGACGTCGTCGTCGTCGTCGTCGTCGTCGTCGTCGTCGTCGTCGTCGTCGTCGTCGTCCGCGCCGCGCGCCGTCCTCGCCGACCGACTGCGATCAAGACGTTTCCAACACGTGATGCCCTCTTGAAGCTGCCCTGCCGTTCTCGTGGTATCTCCTGCCAGCAACCATGCCTCAGCAACATGCACCGGCGAACAGCGCACGACCCCCCGCCCCCACTTGTCCTCATGTTGCGGCCACTGCTCAAGAAACGCACGGCCCTGCGACCACGGACCCTGACTGCCACATCCGTGAGCCGCGCGCCTGCTGCTCCTCCAGGCTGCCACCGGTGTCCTCCTCTCCAGCCTGCGCGCCGCCAAGGGCAATTTCCAGGATGTCACCCGCTTGCAGCAAGCAGGTGGCGAGACCCCATTAGGTGGAAGAGGGCGGAGGTGAGCAGCCCTCGACGAATCGTGGTGAGAACACCTGGGAAGAGAGAG